TTCCTGCTGGAGTTTGCTGAGATAATTTTACTTTAATTGCCCTCTTACAAGTTGAGCTAGGATTAATTTTAGCTTCACGGTTGCTCTGAAAACCTCCAAACTATAATGGTTCTTAGATGACATCGTTTTGCCATCTGTCTTATAAAAGGCAGAAGCAAGAATGATGATGGCAATACTGCAGAGCTTTGGGAGATAACTCAAAGCATCATCTCTGGAACCCACGCGATACTGCCCTTCTGATTAACAGTTGGCTCTTTGGAAGACAGGCTGCAAAGCAGAATGGCCTAAGGAGAAGCTTTTTATATTAATGCAGCAAGATGATTAGTAACAGCTGGAAAACCAGCACTGCTCAGCTCATATTCAAAATAGGAATGAAGCTAAAAAATGATTACTGACTTGGAATATAAAGCCCAGGAAAAAAAAAGTCAGGAAATGATCTATACAGACATTCTAAAGATATTTATGTGCATTTTTATAGGCTTTCTTCAGACATCTTTAAAGACAGATTTTAGGGACAAGGGTGTTTTTGTTGAAAATTATTTTCCTGTTTATTCCTGTTTGGAAATGTTTCTTTCATATCTTTAACAAATGATTCTGATCCGGAACAAATACCACTAAGCCTCATTTTGACAAGATTAGAGGGAGAAATATGATTGCAGAATGAGATCAACTAAGCAGCATCTTAGGGGAGAAAAAACCATGCTCTTGCTATGTTAGAATTATTAAATAGACAGTACATCAATAAATAAATGGGAAATATATTTAACTTATCTGGGCCTTCAGAAAGTTTGATTATTCTCCTTTTAAAGAGGCCTGTTGAGGGCAGTTAAGTATGCAAAAGATGCAAAGTTAATCTCTTTCTAGGATGAGAAGAAACAGCAAAAATAATTGCCTGGTTTGCATTGGAAAGACTGGGTACTCAAGGATTTTTTTGTAGACTTTGCTTCCTGTGGTGTATTTAGTGTATTGTGGGTTTTGTAAGCCCACAAAATATAGAAAGTACACAAGTATAGAAATTTAGATAGTCAGGGCCAGTGATGTTTACTAATGAGCCATGAATGTTAATACAAAATCATTGATTAAAACTAACAAAGGGAGTTAGATGATTGGACAAATAAAATGTAGAGGCAGTAATTCTCACTTGATGGGACAAAGTGACTTGTCTTTGGATTCTCAGAAGTCTCATCCTCTTTCAACTCAAATAAAAGCATGCAAGCATGGTTGCCATTAGTGAAATCCAGGCCTCTGTTTACTGGGCAAACAAAACCTGAATTAGTCGGTTAAAAACATAAATGTGCTATACAGGTAGCTTTTTATTAGATATGTTGAACTTGTTATAAAGTTAGTTACATCTCATGTTACATATATTATTCTTTAAAAATGGAGAAATTTTACCTCTTTACCTACCTATTTTTTCTTCTTTATGCTGGACATAAAATGGTGAGAGTGCACCTTGGTATCATTCTTGTTCTTCTCAACTTTGTAATGAGACAGAGTACTTTGTAATTAGACACTTCCTTGTCCCTAGTGTTTCCTGCAGCTTGTTGCCCCTTTCATCTTCACTCACCTGGTTTCTTACTTTCAACTTTTGTCTGGGATGGAAGAGCAAAGGTCAGATCTTCAGGAAATAGCTGGTTTTGCACATGAGGCTATCGGGCCCTTGACCCAATCCAGCTGTCTTACTCATGTTGAAATGTGTTTCCGTTTCATCACAGCTGGTACTGGATCTTGTTCAGCTGATGAACTTGCACTGTTCCATCTGCTGACTCCAGGCCCGCCCTTGAAAGAACTTCCAAAGAGTTCTGATGTTGCAGGGTCGTGCTGTCTTCCCTCAGGAGGTGGCTGCTTTTGTAGGATTTCTGCCTCTATTTCTCCAAGGTTTGAATGTTCTCCAGGGTTTTGAATCATCAAATTTCTACTCTTAACAATATTGATCAGAGGTCATGTTTAGGATTCCTGCCTCTCAAATCTAAACCTGCCATACCCTACTGTAAGTTTTTCACATGATACCACAGCATAGCAATATCATACAACTACCTATCAAACAATTTCCCATGAGATAAATGGGAACTAAACCCCTCATATTGTCAGTGTATCCAATCAGCCTGTCACTACTGATAATGGTAATCCATGAGACCTCTAGATAAACTGTGCTAAGGAAGAAAGATTCCAAGCTGGATTTGACAAGATAATATACTTTTTGGCTTCACATGCATTTTATTTAACTGATAAAGGAGAAACATTTCATAATCCCGGAGAGAAGAAGGGATAGTGGCCTGTTGTACGCTTCAGAAAAACAAATGTCTTCACCAGCAAGTTCAAGGTCATGAGCGTGACTTTGCAAAATGTTGCTGAAATGATAGACAACATAAAATTATGAATAACTGGGGTTATTGGTTGGAATCAGTTAGTGTGCATGCATGGAGTTTCTTAAAACAGAAAAATAGGGAGAGGGCGCTGACTGTAATGCCTTATTTTTCACCCTCCTGGCTGAGTGTCTGTGGTTGAAACTGCCAATCATGTTCTGCCTTATAACTTTGTATAATGAAAGTAAGGAATGGTAGGATATAAGTATGCCAACAACTAAGTCTGCTTACTATATAAATAAATCAATACATTAGTGTCTGGTAGTGGAAGCATATGTGTGTGTGCCTCTTGTATACGTACCATGAGGAACTCAGCTATTGGTTCTCCTCCTTCTGTATTAAGTACAGAAGAATGTACTGATACAGAAAAACCTACAAAAATAGAAATCATTTATATTAACAAAGGTAACTGCAATTGTATTAGCTAGGGGGAAAACAGCCATGAAATACTAGTTTTAACCAAGTCAGACAATTCAGAGGATGCAGGATGTCCTCAGCGAAGGATTATTTGAAATTTTGGAAGCTTTGTGATTGACCTTAACACTTGGTATAATGAGTTAGGTGTTCTGTAGTCCTCGCCAATATTGTACATTAAATCAGTGTTCCTGTGTTCTGTATTCTATTTTCCAAATGAATTGGAACAATTTATCACTCAGCGTAAAGTTGAACTTCAACATTTAGATATATGGTTGCATATGTCAATTTAAATAGGTGCCTGGAATACTTGCTAAGAAACGATGCCAATCCGGGGATCCGAGACAAACAAGGATACAATGCAGTTCATTATTCAGCTGCTTATGGTCATCGCTTATGTCTTGAATTGGTAAGAAAATGTATCATAGATGAAAGCTGTAACAGCTGCTCTTAGAGTGTGATGCAGAGGCCAGGGGATTCCTCTACCTTGGTCCTTCATCTGTCAGCTATGTCAGTAGTGGTTTTCAGCCCCTGTGAGGATAAATATTTAAGCACTTGGTACTCTTAAAATAGGGGCAAGGTGAGGAGCTAAGATGGTAGATACTGACTTGAAAAGATAATACATTCTGAGATGAAGAGACAACTGGTTGAGGATGTGGGATATTAGTTTTGTTTTGTTTCTTAACTTAACTTAAAAATACACTGCAACATTTTTTCCTGATGGCTGAAATAAAATAACCACAGGTTATCCCACTGAGAAGTGTTAAAATATTCACAAATGTCATCTGAAGGAACAAATTAAAAGGTAGGGAAAACCCGTAAAGTAAGGGTGCCTTTTAAAATACTTCACATAGTTACAGTAACTAACAGCCATATAATAGAATTTTTGATAATAAAGCCTCAGGTAGTTTTTTTATTAATCCCTTTGCAAAATGTCTATGTTATTTGATATGCTAATTTTACCTTCTCTGTGTTATACAACTTAGTTATTTTTATACAAATTATACTTTTATATCCAGATATATTCAAACATGAATTCTGAATGTTTTTAATTGCAGATTGCAAGCGAAACGCCTCTAGATGTTGTAAGTGTGTATTATTTCTCACTGTTATAGTACTACTGTACAGCAAAAGGGAGCATGTAATTTTAAAAATGCTGCTTATTTTTACACTTATTCAACCATTTCTTCAATGCATAGATGTATTATTTAATTTCAATTGCAATTTAGATTTACTTGCAATTCCAAATTGTAAAACAGAAAATTATTTTTAAGTCTTTTTTTTATTTAAACATTCATATGACCATGTTATAAAAGTATGATCTGAACTTAGTGATCTGAATGTATTTGGTGTTCTTAAAAAATTTTTGAATGTTTTAATTCTACTAGTGTGCTAAATTAAATACGATCTTGAAAAAGACCCAGAATTAAAACTTTAGAACACATCTGAAAGTAATTAATAGAAATGTATACACATAGATATTTTAATCCTGTTTTATAACATTTGTGCCTTTCTGGGGGGGAGGGTCCATTTCTTCTCTTTGGGAAATGCTTTTCTGTTCTGAGAAATCAGTCCTGCCTTCTGGCTTTTCATATTGTTTTCTTGCTGACTTTTCACCTAATCTAAATGCCTACTTATTGTTTGTTGGGTTTTTTTCCTACTACAGCTGTTCTCACCTGTCCTTGTCTTGCCTTTGTATGCACTTACTTCATCTATATTATTTCATATGACTGCTTCAGGAAAAATAATAATTTTAGATTCGTTTCTGGTTTAATTATTGAATTGTGATGCAAAAGTAAACAACTGTGCTTGGGAGATGAATAGGGGGGTAGGCTTTCCAGTCATTGCAATTCAAACTCTTTAAAATGTTGAAGAGGATCTAGAATTCCTAAGGAAATTGTAATCTTCTATTATTCTTCCTTTATTTTTCAATCTGTGTATCCTGGAAACTGTAGCAGTGATTGCTGAATGTTTTTAAAGGTGAGGGCTTTTTGAACTCACTCTGACTTTCTCTTTCTGCTAAGCTAATGGAAACATCAGGTACTGACATGCTGAATGATTCGGACAACAGAGCACCTATAAGTCCACTGCATTTAGCTGTAAGTATTTCATTCTTCAGTAATGATAGTTCATCTAAGTGCAAACATATAGGTTTATTCATTCTGGATTTTTTTTTTTTTAAATAGGTCAACAACAACAAATGAAACACAGAAATACGTACATAATATTCCCAAATGAGCTATACAGGGCAATTTTTGCATTTCACTTGAGACTTGCTTCATGGAACAGCTTTCATTTGGAATCTTCTGATTAAGATTTATGTTACAATTTATACTAATAGACTCTTAGAAGACTTGTTCTATAAGTAATGACGACTTTTTTTATCGTCATCATTGTTTAGTATGAGAAATGTTTGACCTTAATACTTTAAGAAAGATTTGCACAAAGAGTAGTGCAGGAAAGGACCTGATGAAACTGTCTATACAAATATACTCAAAATACAGAGTAACCAGCTCAATGTGTAACTTTCATCTTTTCACTGGACTTCTAGCAATTGAAAAACTACAATGTACTTTCTGAAGATAGCCTAAGTCTCCTGCAGTACGTGTATATACATGGCCAAAGTAAAAAGTAATCTTCAATACTGGTAAATGACAGCAGTTAGAGGAGACTGTTCCTGGAAATAAGTTTTGTCTGGAGGCTGAGGTTATGTATCCATGAGTATACATTTAAAATTTATTATGGAAATTATAAAACCATAGTTGTAGATGTTTATTTTCATTACTTTGACACTCTGTCTTGGCACATACCTACAGACTATTCTCTATGCTATTTTTTTTATCCTTGTATATTCATTCTGATCTCTTAACTGTTTCATTCCCTAAGTCTCTACTATTTTACCAGTTATGTTAACTGTAGCTATTTGTACTGTATTCTTTTTGCTTACAAATTTTACTGACTTGTGCGTATGTTCCTAATTTGAAATAATCTGAGGGTGATGTAACTATAACACGAATACTGCATTTTTCATTGCTTTAAAATACAAATTGGAGACATACAATTTTCTAAAAGTATTTTCAGTTACTGACTGAAAGGATAAAATGGAAAAACCCCAGCAACCTTCTTGCTGAAATTGCAGGGTGGTTTTTTTTCAAATCAGTCATAGACATTGTAACTATTTACATGCTGCATCAGTACCTCTTCCACATGTTAAAATAAAAATACTATCCTCATAGTGTCATTTATGTAATCCTGGGAAAGAAAGGGAAAAATGTAAAGGACAGGAAAACTGAAGAATTTTCTTATTCTTGTAGGCCTATCATGGCCACCATCAAGCGCTGGAGGTGCTGGTACAGTCACTGCTGGACCTTGATGTGAGGAATAATAACGGAAGGACACCATTGGATCTTGCTGCCTTTAAGGGACACGTGGAATGTGTAGATGTGCTCATTAATCAGGGAGCATCAATCTTGGTGAAAGATTACGTTGTAAAGAGGACCCCAATACATGCTGCAGGTACGTGCTAACCGCTAACCTCTAAAATTTTGGCTTTTGAAGTGGATTGTCTTCGTGTTTAGAAGTCTCTATCACTTATGTTCTAAGAAATGATGTTTAGGAATAGACAATGACTTCTAAGATATATATGCTATGCTGAGAAAGGTATAACAAAGTAGTTGTGGGTAGAAACCAGTATTCACCCAATAAATCATTTCGGTTCAAGGCGTTCTGTTCCACGCTGCTCTCTGGAAGGGTGGATTGTCCTTGTCCATTCAGCTAGCCAGGCTAGCTATGCTGACAGGTGTCAATGATACGTTCTGTTTCTCTCCTCATCTTTCACGCAGCCCAAACTGTAGGCCCAAATTTAGATACGTGAATTGTGTTGCCTGTCTTGGCAGTAAAATACTTCTAAAAGTGATTGCAGTCTTGGAAAATTCTGTCAGTTTGAGAAGAGACATGAAAACTATACTTTGGGTTTTTTCCAAGGATTTAAATGACTCCCAAGTGTTTTCAAAATAACAGCAATCCTTTGCAATATTTTCTTGCTGCCTTTCCTAGAAAACTTCTATAAACCTACCTTTCTCAAAGTCTAGCATTCATATTCTTTTTTCCTCTCTTTGAAAATAGGCCTATTTAAATTGACGTTTATAGTTATGTTGTTACAGAAATGTTGCAGTAAAAAGAGCATTATGTACAAAACATCGTCATTCTAACTACTTAATTTGTTGTCCATGAGCACAAACTGTATTCTTCTATTTGATTTAGCTTCTCCTAACTTCTGATAGCATTTCTCTCCGCTAGAGAAGCATGAATTGTCACTGTTCTTATGTGGACTGAATACAGCAGCTGTACATCTGAAATAATTTCCCCTCCAACAAGCAATCATTTATCTTTCATGATTTGCATTTAAATATGATTTCTCCATATTTTGTTTCTTTTCTTTTTGCTTTTTGTTTAACTGCTTGGATAATTACTTCTATGCATTACATTTCCTTCCCCTCTTTCTAAATGTCATTTCAGTTATTTCATAACTATGCACGTGCTACACTCGCTAACAAAATCTGTGTATGATTAGCTAGGTATGTGTTTACCTGTGCCTTAAAACAAGCAAAAGTCATGCTAATTACTATATTTAATTATTCCTTCTTGTGGATGTTGTATAAGCATATATTCTAATTATAGTTAATGTATGCAACCCATTTATATGTAAAAACAAATACCTGTTGGCAATTGATAGTTGGAATCAATTACATTTAACACTATACAGTTGAGAATGAACACTAGAAAATTATTTCAGAAATCAAGCATATTTTTTGTTTTTAATTTAAGCTATAACAATAGTAAAGCCGTACAGTGTGTTCTCAAGCTAACGGGCTTTAGTCTGAGCAGGTTACCGTTCTGTTTGAGCTGTATACTCAAAGGCAATTGATGTAAAGCTTGTGTTTTTATGATGTTTTACAGCTACGAATGGTCACTCAGAATGTTTGCGGCTATTGATAGGAAATGCAGAACCACAGAATGCAGTGGACATTCAAGATGGAAATGGACAGTGAGTTTAAACGATACACATTCTGTTCTTCACGAGTTACTGCATTTTATAAAAGGAAAACCTAAATATTTTTAATTTATTAAATATTTTGATTTTATTACTTTAAAGGGAGATGATATTTGAACTAGGACAAATGAGACTCTTTTGCAATAAACATAATGTTGGCAGTGAAAAATGTTCTTGTTTAGCTGGGAGGAAACTAAAATGTGTCTTATTGCCCAGATGCTGAAAAGATGGATGGATGGATGGATGAACTTAATCAGGACTTCTGAATTAGGGGATATTAATTTATTTTCTTGAATCTAAAAAGCAAGTAAGAGTGACGTTCTCAGAGCGAAGGTAGTGCTAGGGAAGATCATTGATGATGTAAATTTTAACGTTGTTGTCCAGAAGGATAGTAGTAGTTACAGTTCAGCTAAGTACTAGTCTGTTAAATTTCCCTGTAGATTACACTTTGTTTCACTCTCTGCTTAGGACTCCCCTGATGTTGTCAGTTCTCAATGGGCACACCGACTGCGTTTATTCACTCCTTAACAAAGGAGCAAATGTAGATGCCAAAGATAAGTGGGGAAGGACAGCATTACATAGAGGGGTAAGAGAGCATTCCTTTTCTGTCCCTTCCAGTTTTATACATATTAATTTCAAATATAAACTTAGTACGTCGTGTTAATGAATTTCTCATTATTCTTATCTTGCCATTCTTAGTTTTTAATTGTCTTTCCAGTTGCTTTCAAAAGGCTAACTTTTACCTGTTTGCTGTGTACCCTCAGAATTCTTTTGGACTTCTAGAACCTCTTAATCTTGCTGTAAAGTGTTGACTGGAGAGGTCCCAGAATACAGCTTTTTGTTATGGGGTGGGGGTAGTGTTAATGGGAGGAAGAAAAGCATGATGCATGCCATATGCCAAATACTTTTTTTATAGTCTCTGCTAGATAAGACAATTGAATGAGCCCTAGAGATTAGCAGTTCACTCAGTGTTATTTCAAGAAATTATTCTGTCATCAATATGATAATACATTGCTATTTTTCCAACAGAATGACTGTTTCCAGGAATAAAAATAATAACTGTGCTTATTTTGTTATTACTTAGAAATGTGAAATTGCCTGAAGTTTCTTTGCTTTAGTTATTATACACCTTGGCTTACATACATGACTATTTGCAAACTTGTTATTTTGTGTGTCTCTCTCACAGGCAGTTACCGGGCACGAGGAATGTGTGGAAGCATTGCTTCAACATGGTGCTAAGTCCTTATTACGAGACTGTAGGGGGCGAACCCCTATACACTTGTCAGCTGCATGTGGACATATAGGTGTTCTAGGAGCTCTCCTGCAGTCAGCTACATCTGCGGATGCAGTACCTGCAATAGCAGACAATCACGGCTACACATCACTGCATTGGGCCTGCTATAATGGTAAAATACATTCCAGTTAAAATACAGGTCTGAATAGAGTTATTACTACTTAAAAAAGCAACATATAAAGTCTGTTCTCTTTCAGTTTGTATTAGGCAATCTGACAATACGACAGACTTGATATCTTGAGGGGGAATGTATTAACATCTAATACCTATTATGAGGTGTTATTTTTGTACTACATTTTTGTTATAAACTGCTTTCTTAGTTTTGTCCCTCAAGGAGTCGTTCAAGAAATTCAGCATAGTACCTGTGAATAGAGATGTGCCACACAGCCCAAAAATATAACCTTCACAGAGAGTCTAGGGAGGAATGATTTCAGATTAAATCTTTTTTAAAACTTGCTTCAAATCAACCTTGATAGGCATAAGAAGCTAAATTATATTAAAATAATTCAATAAAATTTTTTTTCTTCACTGATACTTTTCTTGGATTTGGGAGTGAGTGAGGCCTTAAAAGGTAGGAAATTAATTCAGCTCTGTGCATTCATTTCTGACATAGTAGAGGTTCTCATGTATTTCACCTCTGAGTCACGCAATAAAGATCAAGAAGTAAGGGTTTAGAGCTTCATTTTAGCAATTACTTTAAAGTGAATAACTAACTAGACTGTCCTCACAGCTGAGGCAACTGGGTAATACACTGATAATTTGACTTAGAATAACATCTCTTTATCACATTCATAAAGCTAAACTCTTACAGCTTGGTCCATTTTCAGAGTAACCACAGTGGCTGAATAAAACAACTGAAATATGCTTGATTTGTAGAATGAAAATTTGACAAGACATGTGAAAATACAGATCTTCAGACATCAGTGAATGTTGAACTAAGGTTCTCTGCATATATATATTGAAGATCAAACAGGTAGTTACAATTGTTAGCTACCTGTACTGCAGCAGGCTATAGAATTTTGAAAATAATAGTATCATGGATTGAACTTTTTAAGCTTTTGTTATGACTACCTACTTGGTTTTTCTTTGGGTTTAGCAAGACAGTGGAACAAAAATAACCCTCAAATAGTGGAGACATTTTCGTGTAGCCTAAGTGGTGAATATACAGAAGAGTTTGAAAAGTGGAGGTGTAAAGAACTAAATTAAGTGTTCTGGATGTTATTCAGACAGCATGAGATCCCTTTTAAATTTCACAGAGGTTTACAGTGTTAAATGTCAGTTTGATTTGCAGGATTCTAAAAATGTCTCAGTTTCTAAATGTAGCCCTATTAAATATAACCACTGTGTCTTCGCAGCTTTCAAATAAAATATTGCTTAATCTAATTTAGATACCTATTTTTTGTTGTAATCCATAAATATACCTTCTTCCTTTTTTTAATACCTAACCTTTACATTTGCTGTAGGTCATGACAGTTGTGTAGAGCTCCTCCTGGAACAAGAAGTTTTCCAGAAAATGGAAGGAAATTCTTTCACTCCGTTGCATTGTGCTGTGTAAGGAAGTGCAAAATTATTCTGCATAGATTTCATTGCTGTATATAACAAAAGATTTATCATTCTGTAAATAACAGCCTCTTTAATTCCTTATAGGATAAATGATAATGAAGGTGCTGCAGAAATGTTAATTGATACGCTAGGTGCTGGTATTGTAAATTCAACAGATTCAAAAGGAAGGTAAGAGTGTAAATGCACAGTGGAAGAATGCTTGTAATGTAATAGTGAGAAAGGCTCTGTTAAATTCTATAATCATTTGGGGTTTTTGTTTTTGCTACTTAGGTTAATTCCTCCTTCCCTCTGTTTGTATTCTTTGCAGATTCTTTTCTTTTATTCTGTACTAGAAATAAATTTTAAATTTTAAAAAATCCTGTTCTGATTCAATGAACTTGAATTGACTTTTCATTAGATAGGCAAGTTTGAGCATGTTTTAACTTGTTTCACTTTGTGGGTAGTATTTTATGCGTATTTTATTTTTTCTGAATCAAATTGTATCTCTATTGTAAACCACATAGGGGGAATTATTTGAAACTTGGAGATTACTTTTTACAGGCAGCAGTCACAGCTCCAGCAAAGGATCACAACTCCCACTGATTTCAAAGGATCAGTGGGAGGGACTGCCCAGTGTTTTGTAGCCTCAGGATCACAGTCAGGATGCTCCTTTGAATGAAGTAGAAAGCGTGGCTGAACCTGGCCGTATTGTCTTTTGATCTGTTGTAGAACTCCTCTTCATGCAGCAGCTTTTACAGATCACGTTGAGTGTCTACAGCTTCTGCTCAGTCACAATGCTCAAGTAAATGCTGTAGATTCTTCGGGGAAAACACCTTTAATGATGGCTGCAGAAAATGGACAGACGAATACAGTTGGTAAAAAGAAAGCTTTATCTATTTCTGCTCTTTGTTAATCTTACTATGGGTAAAGTTGCCTTATAGTTAATGTTCTTCTGGATATATTTTATCAAAATTACCTTTTCATTTTGCCATTAAGGCTTTAAGAAATATGCCTTTAGTTAATACAACTCTTTATTTCCCCAGAGGTGCTGGTTAGCAGTGCTAAAGCTGATCTGACTTTGCAAGACAGTTCTAAGAACACAGCACTCCATTTGGCTTGCAGCAAGGTGTGTGCGTAGTCTGACTTATCCGTGCTGAGCTTCATGTTGCCAAGCACTGTTTGCAAATAGTAACTTGTTACTTTGAAAACGCATTCAAAGCAATTTTTGAAGAGTATTTGTTAGATGACAGATGTTTGTTCTGTATTAAGGGTCATGAAACTAGTGCCTTGTTAATACTGGAGAAGATTACGGATAGAAACCTCATCAATGCCACCAATGCAGCCTTGCAAACGTACGTATCAGCAGTGAGTGTGTTTTATAGGTGAGGTTTTGGTGTGTATCTGGCTCTTAGAGGAATATTTTTCAGATTTTTTTTTTTCCAGATTGGTCGAATTTTAATTGCTTAATAGGTACTAAGAGTTGAAATGACTTGAAGTGAAATGGTGTTTTGCTCATATTTAAAGTTCTAGTTTAGGATTCAGGGAATCCTGTTTGGAATTACTGCAATCCACTGAGATTACCTATAAACCAATATTTTTCTGTTTTATAAATTATCTAATTTTTCAATTAAAATTCACTTCAGTTAACAACTCATTCGAGGCAAACTAAGACTCGCTCTTCACAGCTAGCTAATTTAAAAAAAAAAAAAAAGCCCTAAGTGAAGTATGCTTTTATTCTTTAGCATGCTTTCTGTTAGCAAAAGACACCTATTCCTACTAGGGGACGAAAAACTATTTTCTGTTAAATATTATGGAGAATGCAGTATTCTTAATGCTTCCTGAAGATCTTCTCTGAAGTAGAACTAAGCCTATTTTGTAAGCCCAGTCATAAGGAAAACTTAAAAATGTAGTGTTATGTCATACTGGGGAATATATATCAGGATGGGCTATCAAAATTACTCTTCTGCATTTTTGTTTCTTTCAAAGAATGCGTTTGTGTTATAGGCAGTATTTGACACTTGATTCGTAGCTGTTAGACTGCTTTAATAATGCTATCACAGACCAATTATTAAAAAAAAAAACCCACACAAAAAAAACCCCAAAACCAAACAAACAAAAAAACCCCAGAAGTTGTAAGCAACTCCTGTATTTCTCTGGCCTTCCATCCCGTCTGGAATCTGTCATGTTCAAACTCCTACAGTTCTTCCAACTATTCCCAGAGATCTGCTTGAACTAAGGAGTTCAGATAGTAATACTTCTTCCTCTGCTCTTGCTGCTGATGGTGGTGCACCTCAGGCAGCATGAAATAACTAGAAAGCAGGAAAGGGATTGATTGCCTCATTTCTGGCTTGAAGCGAGGATGTCTTGACAGAAGGAAAAGTAAAAATGAGATGGGAACAGCAGTGGGAAAGTATGCTACCACAGGCTCATGTAATTCCACCCACATGCCTTGGCTCATATAGTCTGATTGCGAAAAAAATGGGGAAAAATAGGTACCTATTCGCACCTCCATGAAATGTTTATATAAATTGCAAGATTTTAACAGTTGTTTAAAATATTACTGGTTCAGCAAATGTTTTTTAATAACTAAACTGACTTTCTAAACAGCTTAAGCAATGTCCTACTTTGTGGCAAGATAAGCATTAAAAATTTTGGCCTCTATATTAAAATTATGTTAGTTACTTTTTTCAGTATATCTGTGGTGTGCAGTAGCTCTTGAATTTTAATACTTTAATATAAGCACCATGGATACAGCTGCTCCTATTTGTATCTTTTGCATTTCTGGTCTTGAAGTAAGGTACTTGTTTCCAAATCAAAGTATAGTTCACAGTTAATTCAAAGAATTTTAAGAATCTCAAAATGAATGAAGAGCAATATAAAGCAGAAGGGAAGTAAGCTGATTATTCTGTTTCCTGCTGGGTGGTGGTAGGGTTTTATATAAGCCAGTGGGAAACAATCTTGAAAACTAGTTGCATTTGAAAAAGATATAATTAGAATATTTGAGGTAAAGCTACATTTTCCCTGATAGATCAAGTCACTGCCAAACAGGGTAATGGTTAATAGTTTGAAGTTTTGAAAAGTAATCTGCTTTTCTTGCTTCGTGCATTATACTATAAAATAATTTTATCTCTAGTCACAACAGAATATAGTGCTTTCTAAAAGGCAGATTGATGAAATGTTTCTGCATCTCTTACGAGCATTTACATGCAATAAAATATGACTCCCATACTAATGGTTATTGCCAGTGATAGGCCGTAACTCTCAGATGTGGTATCTGTTACAACAGTTCAGTGTTTATCAACAGTAGGGTACTAGATGTTTTAACTTTTTAATGGGATGAAGTTCATAAGCAGGCAAGTCTTTCCCAGTAGCTACTTCCTTGCTGTGTGGTGCCATAAAAAGAAGAAAGTGCACAATTATTGTTGTACAGATTCTTTGCAATAAGAAAAGAGATTTTATGTTTTTCCCATCTTGGTTATTATATCTACAGTATTTATATAATTTGTAAATAATAACATACAAGTATAAATACTTTAATAATCATTTAACTAGATGCAAGCTACCTCTCTTAATATCTTGTTCTAAGGTTTATATTTGAGTTTGCTTGTCTTCACAGACCTCTGCATGTTGCTGCTCGGAATGGACTAACGGTTGTAGTTCAAGAGCTTTTAGGGAAGGGAGCAAGTGTACTTGCTGTAGATGAAAATGGTAAGAAAAATTTAACTTTGTTTTCCCTTAAGGAACTGTGGTTTTAAACTCAGCTCACTGAAAAGCAATAACCCTTTGGAAATGTCATACGAGCCTTGCAGTAGGTTCCCCCCATTGAAAAAAATGTGCTGGTGATGGGACATTTTAGCCAAGCAGCGGAAGTGTAAGGAGAGTGAAAACTTTCTGAACAAGGCAGGTTATGGCATAGAAATGTTTGGTTTGCATTTTTAGTTTTATAATGAATACTCTATAAATACACTAGCTTTGGCATACTGAAAACGGTCAGAAAAATATAATGCTCAAAGTAAAATATAACTTTCAGCTGTTAAGAAGCTGGACTGAATTGCTATTTATTTTGTCATGGTAGGTATATTGGTGTTAGCATTTAAAAGCAAGTATGAATTACAGATCTCAGTTACTGGTCTCAAGCTTCTGGCTCTTTTGAGTTTTTTTGGCACATAGAAGTAAGAAAAAGTAACTGCATTGTCACAGAGAATAAATCCTATACCTTCTAAGAGCAAAAGAAAATTGATCTACTGTCTTTGTATTTGCGTATTTTCATGTAAGACATTTGCGGTCCTCTGAAGCTGTGCTTTTAAAAGTGTAAGAGCTCCTGCTCTTACACTGTACCCCAACATATCTTAAATGAAAATAGTAGCTGGGGTTTGCTTTTTGGGTTTTGGGTTGGTTTGGGTTTTTTTTCCCCAGAAGTGATGGGCCTAATTAATAGTTCTAATTGTATTTCCAGTTTGAAAGTTTTTCCTCTCTTGATGTTTACTGTGACTTTCTCTCTGTTTCTCAATTACATTGCTTAAAGTGACACGGGTGATTTAAAGATCATTCCTTGCCTAAAATAGGGGACAGAGGTAACTGCTAAATGAAACTCCCTAAAATGAGAAGATTGGAAAGCGTATCTTTTTGATTTCTGTTTCTCATCACAAGTATGCTAACTGGAGATGTCTGTATTTTTGTGGGCTTTTCATGTGCAGCCAGCCCGTCCCTTGTTAGGGTGGAGCTTTGACACAACAGAGAAAAACATCACCTCCATAGAAGTCGCAGTTCTCTGGCAGCCTGACGATCTAACTGCAGCATGTTAAAACTTCTTTTTAATTCTGCTTATATTTCAGATCTTAAAGTAACTCTGAGCACTACCTCATCTTGTTCCTCACTGTGGTTCTTTTCTTTCTAATAGCAATTGCTTTGTTTGTAACATTTTAAGCAGCCTTGAGAATTTCATAATGAATTATTTTTGTTGGATGAATGTGCCCTTTTAAAAGTACACTACATGCAAAGTGATGAATGCTTTGAGTTAAGAGAGTGCAATGGAAACTTTCAGGGGACTTATCAATCTATTTCACTTGTCACTGTAATTTTTTTCTTAATTCTTAGAAGTATTAGTATGTCAGCAGGCTTGTTAAACCTGTTGCAAAAGTTGTCTTGATTTCCACAGTGTACCTTTTATATTAAATGGAAAAGCTGGCAGTAGTGATAGCCAGATTCTGCTTTAGGTCTGCTTGTCTTTGATTTTAGCATCTACTGCTAGAGTCTAAGTGTTTCTAAAGAAAAAAACAAATTACATACATTAATTCTAATAAAAATATAGGAGAAACTTCAATTTTTACTTTATTAAAAAGGCTTTAAAGAGTATGATTCATACATTTTGGGGGTGAAAGGTATCTGTTTAGCAAAGCAGACTGGAGAAATAGGCGCTGGAATATTTTGCATCACAACACTGACATTCTCTTACTTCAGCATAGTTCAGGTAAGTTCAGTGATCTGCCACGCAAGCTTGGCATTTCAGATAGAATTAGATGAAATTGGAGGTAAAGTTTTAGTGTTTTACATGGAAGCGTGTCTTGATATATGGCGCATGCAACCAACAGAACCTCAGCTGTTATAGAGTGGTCATCCACTTTTTGTCTTTGAAGTTGTCCTTTTCTGTAAAGGCTGCATTGACTTTTTTTTCAAGCAGTCTCTGTATCTGTGTAAAACTGCTTAATAGTCCTCTGCTGCTGTATCTGGGCTACAGATAATTATTGAAAAACATCAGCTTTGAAAAAAAACCAACATTACTCCAATTATCTGCGTTGCAGTTTATACATAGTTTATAAGAGATTTAAATTTCAATTTATCTATCTAAATATCTAAGATAAGACATTCAGACTTGAATTCATACTCCTTTTGTTATAGACCATCTCTTAATGTGGTAAGATCACTTTTTGAGATGTTTAAGAACTAATGTCTTTGGGGAAAAATGTAATCCTCTTGGATCTTAAAAGATTAAATGCAACTGAAACAGCAAGTTAACTGTCTGGTATACTTCCCAAAAGCAGTCATGTTGAGGGTTCATTCTCAGTTCTGGATCAGTTCTCACTCAAACCTTTCAGTTCTTTTCCTATTTTTCTACACCTGTCAGGATGAAACTTTGCCATCACACACATCTACAAAAATTCTGGTTTTTATTTGTTGTGTAATGTGCCACCACAGTAGTGAGAGGAGGCATTCTCTAACTCCAGAAACTAAGGCACCATGGAGGTTTCTCTTATTTTCTAGATTCACCATTACAGTGATCATTGGCCTTTCACACTTTTTTTTTTTTTAAAAAAAAAGGGAATAATTTTTTTTGTCTAGTTCTTTTCCAAGGCTTGCTTTACTCATTTTCTAGTTTATTTTGGAGATCCCCCGTTTTTTGGAAGGAATTTTTCTTTTAAATGCTTACAAGATGACTCATGCCTCAGATGATTTTCTTCTCTTTCCCAAGTGTAAGACTCCATTTAGTTTATCTTGAGAACTGTCTTTGCGCTGACCGCATTAATAACCCTCTGATTTTCCTGTAGGCGCCTTTATGGAAACTTCCAAGGCCCAGGGAGGGAGCAGCTCTGCATTTGGGCCGGGGGGGAGCCCTGCTCTTAAGGCAGTGTCCGTCACCCAGCCTCTGTTTTCTGTTGTACAGGGAAACTGCTTCACCTCACTCTGCTTCTATTGCCCCATTTACAAATGAAGATAGCAATTTTGGTGGTGGTGGTGGTGTGTGAAGGTTTATGCAGATACAAGTACAGATTATGAGTAAGAGTATTTCAGCAGAGTCGGTACAACATCTTCTTCAAAGAAATTTAAAGTATTTGTATCTATTGCTGCCCTGACATATGAATGATCACTTTGCAGTTAAGGGACGTAAAAAGATAATTTGTTCTTATAACTTCAAAATAATATAGACAAAAATAAAGTGGTGGAGGACACAGATGTCAGTCTTTTGTGGTGCAAGCAGTTACTTCATCTTACTATGTCTAAGGCAAGAATAAAACTGTGGTATTTCATTCCTACTTAGGAAAGCCAGGAGCTTAAGACCTACAAGCTAGTATTAGCATAAACACTGGTTTTAAAGAACTTTTAACAGAAGTAATCTGTTTAATCTTTACGTTGGCCTTTATTTTTATTTTTTTTATGATGAACTGTGATACTCTGTTCCAGAAGGAACATAAGTATGGGTGTTCAAGATCTTAGCAAGAAGCAATCTTTAAAAAAAAGGAGAGGGGAAAAAAAACCCCAAAAAACCTAAAAAGGCACCTGGTGACTGCTTGTTTCTATTCTTTGAACGTCTATCAAATCACATTAGTGAAAGGAATGGCATTGAATATGGCCAGCTTGAATAAATTTATTTTGTGTGTTGTTTTACCTTCATATGATCTCCAGCAACAGTAGACATTAAATTGCGTGCGTTTGGGTATCAATTCTGAGCCTTCTGTTCTGCCCTACATGCCTGCAATGCTGTCTTCATCCGAGCGTAGCAAGCTCTGGCCCTTCCTTCTGAATCCTCTCAAAATATATCTCTTCTGCAGACTGTCACTGTTAACTCTGAGCTGTTTCAGTGCTGCGATACCTTACTAACAGTGAAAACATCTGCTGCGCTGCGCTTCTGTACGGCCCTATCGCATGGTCAGCTGGTGCGTTTTGTGCTCGGATTGTCTGTGTGTTTCCTTGGATTGTATGCCCCTTTGGGCAGGGACTTGTCTTATTCTCTTCCAAGCATCAAGCATAAGGTCTGTCCTGAGCAAATAATAGTTCGACTGCAAGATTGTTCCTTGCTTGCTGTTTTCTTAAGTTCCTGCTACATTTTCCATAATACGACTACTTGTTTAAAACATTGTGCAATTGTACAACACAATAACTGCTCCTGAGCTCTTCTACAATAAAGATGATTCCTTAGTAGTTGAAACGCCTGCTGGTAGAGTGGGCATTGCCTCATTTTCCGTGCCTTCCTAAGGTCTGGATAGAACTCCATCGTGCGGTTTGCTTTAAAGCCATCTATTATTTAAAATTACGTGTGTGCTTTTTACCTGGATGTTGTACACCTTTAAGTTGTGGACTGGGGGTAGTTCAGGACTTCAGACTCCCAAATGTACCTGAACGTGAGTCTTCCTGTTCAGCTCGTTGTGGGTGTACCTGTCACATGCAGCGAGAGATACTGCGAAGGTGCTACAAGGTGATCCAGCCACCGCTTCTGTGGGGAGCCAGGTGGAGGGGGCTTAGGTTGGTCTTGGCAGCAGAACTGGCTGTTCTCTGTGGTTGTACTTACACGACTGCCATGCTTCTAGAGCCGCTGTTGTCACCACCAATTGCAGTGCCTCGGTGTTGTGGATGTACCCCAAGACCTGTGCCAAAACTTATTCTCAGGTGCCTTTGCTGAATGATTAAGGCCAAAACCTGAGAGGGGAGCTATGCATGGATCTCCACTGAGGAGAATCTGAAGCATTTTTCTTGACATTTAGTGAGTAGAGGCAAGTACGTAGGGAAGGGGGAAGCTGCAAAAGGAGAAATGTTAGAGGATTATTACAGCTGCAGTTACCCAGAAGGGATTTCACAGCTACGTGACCTGACTGCAAATCATTCCACAGCTCAAGACCTCCTGCATTTGGAGGTTGTCACAGTCGTGTTGCCTGGCAGGAGGGGTTTGGCCGGAGCAACCAAGAGGTGTAGTTTCTCTCTGCGAGCCCTAGCCTACTAATCAGCTGGCGTTTCCTCAAACTTCCACGGATTTCTTAATCGGTATCCCTCAAATAACAGTTAGACATTGGCTTTATAGTTAATATTACTGTACATTGTAATAAAGTATAGTTTGATTGAAATTGCGTACGCTGCCTTTACAATTAACTGGCCCCAATGCTTTTGCCAGCTTGTTGTTGAGATAGGATGGTCTTACTAAAATGACTGTCTGTGATGAACAGCTACATGGAAACTTCTGGATGAAGCAACGTTTAACATGTTGGGCTGTAGTTTCTGCGGTGGCTCTCTAGCGAACGCCTTCACCTGTCACTGTTGGCTGCCATCAGTTGTCTCTCCTCAGCCAGGTGACTTCCTCACCATTTTCAAAGCCAAGCTTTTCTCGCTGGCCTAGACTGTCTCTGACTGTGTTTAACAAAACTATCACATCTCTGTTCCAAAGCCCACTGACTTCTGGGTTGGTTTTGTAACTGAAAGTTAAAAAATTCTAATTGATAATGTATTTAATTGAATGTTTTGAGGGTTTGGGGGTTTCTTTTAAACAGTGCAGAACTAAGCAATATAAAATACTTCTGCAGCTGAAAGATGACATGATCTTGGAGAAAGGTTTACGTTGTCTTTATTTTAAATTAAGGTTTTGTTTTTCCCTTGACTTTCTAGGTTACACACCAGCTTTGGCCTGTGCGCCCAACAAGGACGTGGCTGATTGCCTAGCTCTCATTCTGGCCACGATGATGCCCGTTTCGTCGAGCAGCACGTTACCTTCCCTTACATTCAATGCCATTAATCATTACACCAACACCTCAAAAACTGTCACCTTCGATTCCTTGCCAATCATGAGGAGTGACCATAGCTCCTACTGTACTTTCAACAACATTGGCAGGGAAGGTGGCTACCCGTATACAGAAGAAGACGAACTCAATGACTCAGATTCTGAGACCTATTAGAAGTTACGTTTTGTAGGTCTGAAGTGAACCCTCATGCTGGAAGGTCAGACTTGTGCTTTTGAAAAAAAAGCTATCAGTGTTTGAATACAAAAAGAGGACAGACCTTTGAGAAGATGTTTTTTATTGTGGTTGCATATAAAAAAATCTGTGAGACTCTAGGAGGATTTTTAAGAGCATATTTTGCAGAAGAAACATAAATTCTTGAATAAGTACTTGGAATCCATGGCAAAAAAAAAAAAAATAATGTCAAAACTTTTATTTAACTGTATTCTACCATTCTGGTTTTGGTGCCAGAAGTAATTTCTGCAGACAGGGCACCCTACTTGATGTAAATGAACAACACTATTGTACAACACAAAGGATGCTAGATTTAAATATTATCAATAAAATGAAAACCATTTTGAAGGCAATAAATGAGTTTGGTACAGTAGGCATTGTTTGTGCTGCAAATTGCCAAAGGACCAAATAACTTAAAGATTTTTTTTTTTTTTAATTAAATATGTTTTTGTGAAAACTGGAATAGGTTATTTGAGAAGTCATTTCAACCAAACCTTAATTACTTCTGGAAAAGAAGCTTAGATTTGGTTTTAAATGTTGATTTATTTTTTTTAATCATCTTGAAAGCCTTCTGACACTATTAAATGTACCATGAAAGAAAGCAGATGTACTTTTAAGTTTTGTTTTCTTTTTCTTTTAGGTGAAATGAAAACAAACTTGTCATACTTTTATAATACTAAAATTAAACCAGCTAACAAGGTGAAGTCAGGGTGAAAAATGTACAGTGTAATAAAGGGAAGGGGTGGGAGATGTGGGAGGGAAGCAGTAATTGTTGCACAGTTTTAGAGTTTTTAACTTTTGGGTTTTGGATTGAGATTTTTTTAATTTAAAAATACACAAGTAACTTGGAAACTATGAAACTGCATAAAAAAAATTGAAATGTCTTGATAACCCTGTTGTGACTGAGAGTTCTTTTCAATAATTTGTCTACTTCCTTACATCATAAATTTGTATGTAAGATTAAAACTGTCTATCCCTATCACTTTTTAAAAAAATAAATCCTGGAGTTACAAGGGGGGGGGGGGGGGG